TTTGTTAGATCTATCGTTAACATAAACAACTTATAAGGTGTGGGTGAATGAATAGTGTAGAGTACGCCCACACCCGCACCCTTAATTTAACTAAAATATTTTTGCGATATTTTACACGATGCAACAAAATCTTGCACGAATCTTTTCATAGGACTTGATGTAAGATGTCTGAGACGATGATTTTCAGTATGATTTTCGTTTGATCATTTCAGATCAAATATGATCAAACGTACGATTCTTGTAAGATCTGATTGTTTGGAGAAATATTAAGCTATTCTCTGTGAATGTTATCGATTATTGAATAATGACAAGTTTTTGTCTAATTCTATTTTATTAACAAGATCTTCTCAGCTGTATTCTTTTCTTTTTAGAGCGAGCACACATTGCTCTGTCGATTGAATAATATCCAAAGATAGACTATAAGTTATTAGTATGTTTTATTAAATTAAAAAAAATTAAATACATTTGCGCTTGCATTTAAAACTAGTTTCTTTCTACCTCTTGTTTACTTATCGATTCAGTGAGATTTCGTTGCAGATTTACTTTCGGTGGCAATAATGTAACACGTCTCGTTCTCTTTACTTCTTCTCTTTCTGCTCCAAAATATCTAGGCGTTTCGAAACTCCACACGGCAGTTCCAACGATGACGATACCCAAGCCATTGACAAATTTTTCCACTTGTGTGTCAATTTTAGTACCCCATGAGATTAATTCACTTCGAACACGTTGAAAGTCAGCGTAACGATCGATAACCATCTGCCCAGCTCGATCTATAGCCTGTTGAATGTTCAGCGATGGATCAGCATGCATTAGTACTGAGATGAGATTGTAGTCGCCTCTCGATTGCTCAATGTTAAATGAATAAATATCCTATTATAAAAAAGAAGACAGCATGTTAATAAAATATATAATTTAATATGCCGTTTCAGAAGAGATTAAAAGCAATATTCTATCTCTAGTTTGAAGACCTTTTCGGATCTTAGCTTCCTGAATATATGGCAACTTAATATTATCGACTATGAAGATATCTTTTTGAATTATGCTTAATTCTTCATGCTCAAAAATAGCTCATTTTGAGCAAAATAACTTACATTGGTCCAAGAAGCGATATCATTTGCAATATCGACAAGATATTTGAATGTATCATTTTCCCAGCATTCGTCAAGTGAATCAAGTTCAAGACAGTACTCAACGGTGAAATATACCCCATATCCCAAGCTTGTATCTCGACGAAACTTAATGTATGTTTCTAAATCAGGAACTGTTCGACGATTCTTTTCATTGGCAGCTTGAAGAAGTGAAGCTTCATTAGCAGCTCGATAAGCAGTGAGGAAACGTTCTCGACAGCCAGGTGTGATATTGACGAGAATTCGCTGCCACCATTCATGAAGAGCAGCAGCGAATGGTGTTAATGGTTTGAATGAACCGGTTGGCTGCAAACATTCGATCATATTCTTATATAATTGTTGTTTGGATCGATCAGCACCTTCTGAAATATGAGCACTATCCATAATATCATCGGCCAAGAAAAATATTGTGTAAACATCACACATTTCACGGAATCTAACTTGGCTACAATGCAGAAAAACCATTCCCGACCAGAGAATGTATTTCTTTTCTGATTCTTCGTAGGGAATACCATATGAGTTAAGCCAAGCTTCTGTTGCACCTGATACTGATTCATATGCTGGATTGAATTCAAGTTTGAATGGACAAGTACCGATTAAATCAGGTAAAAGAATACTATTCGTATTCACCATATCCATTGAAAAACAGAATTTCTAGTTGTAATCTGAAAGTAAATTGGTCGAAGTTTAATTGTACAAAACAAAACATATCAATGAGAATGATTTTCAATAGAAAAAATCATCCTACCAGTGATATACTAGCCTGTATTAGAATTTGCGATATTTACGAAGTCCTACATCAGTGCACAGATATATAGAATACGTTACTTCTTTTTATACATCAGAATGTGTCCGATGAATAATATCAACTGTAATATAGCTAAAAATGAATAAGATAGATTCCTACTCAAATTTCTGCAGTAAATGTCTTCTAACTTAATACGCAACAATAAATGGTAAACCTCGGTGTAGTTTGTTTACTTCTTTAGTATATAAATCTTCTCTAACTATTGTTGTATATTTTGAATTTTCATTTGAAGTATATTTAAGTATATAAAAATAAATGACAAAGTATTGATCAAATCTATTCTTTATTATATTTTAATATATTCTAAAGTATGTCTTTACACTTAAATACACTATGTATACTAAAAGATTTATGTAAGTACTTACTGTATAATATACTATTCAAAAATGAAAAATTTTAATCCATTTATGAAGCATCATAAACTGAGGTATAAAGTAAGTACTACCAAAAAATATTACCTACAGTTTTCCATCGCATGAAATAGATTATAAAAATATCCGATGTCTCGCTTAAAATTTCTCATCGTACTTACTTGTTGATATTTGTTTTATATACTGAGCATACAGCAATATTTTTCGTGTATTTATATATATATAATTTATTGATCGTAAAAGAAATAATTGAATGATAAAATAAAAGTAATATTAAGTGCATTCTATTTTAGTATCTTTTTTTGTTTATACATATACTATTTGGATGGTCTTTTCACTTGCTTTGATAGAATGCAACTGTATCTGACGTCAAACATTTATTATTAGAAGTAAGGTAGTTTCAAGCCTATCCTCTTTCTGTATAAGAAAAAAAATAATATGATTTGCAATCATACTTTATATATTTGTATTTTTCGTACTCTGACTCATTATCCTCACGAGTATTTATTTATGCTTTGCATTAATGTACGTGTATAACTTTTTCTATTGCTCATTGTAGTTTTACTTCATAGTTGCTAACTAATAGCACGTTAATATTTAGTAAATTTTTCCTTTTTCAATGAACTTCCAAAACTTATTAGATTTTCTTTAAAATGCATTAAATATTGCATTTGATAATTACTTGAAGATTTTAATATCTCTGTTCGTTAGATAAATATAATATTATTATTTTCTTTATTACACATTTTCGTCAATATTATTGCTCTTTTGATGTAAATAGCTGTATAATAACATTAAAATTTTTTTAGGAACATATTTATTAAAGAGTATGTATTGAAAGAATATTAATGGATCAAATATGCCTTGTTTTCAGGATAAAAGTTTATCGTAATTGTCAAAAAAATGAGAATAATTATTACTAGTTTTCTGAATAACTATTAGAGTTAGAAGAGGTAATAAAAAACGAGTATTTGAGTACAATATTTTTTAATATAGAAAATAATGAGAATGTATTTTACTTGGGACTTATTAGATCTATCATTAACATAAACAACTTATAAGGTGTGGGTGAATGAATAGTAGAAATTACACCCATAACCACATCCACACCCTAACTAATAATTTATATCACAATTGACGATTGATTTAGTTTATTCTTTCAGTAATTATGAAGTAACGGACATACTATGTTCGAAAGATGGCTATAATATTTTGTTTTACTGATATAACATGAATTGATAAATATTCAATCTAGGGTTCTCGATTATGGTGAATCTCATGCTAGATATTGATAGTCTTTACTTCACTTGCAATTTATTATAGTTTCATTCTGTAGAATGTTTCTGCACTCAGAAAACAATATAAAATGAATGTATTTTTAGGGTTAATAACTAATTTGAGGATTGGTTATTTATTTTATACTATTTCTAAAATGGGGAAAAGTCCATATTTTTTAATCAGATTCTTTGATCAGTAAAAGTGCAAATTTTATCAGCAGAAGAAATAAATTAAATAAATACAAAAGACTAAATGTGTTTGTTCACTTTATCAACCTCATATACTCTTAATACATATGAAAAAAAGATATACACGTGTGTCATATTTATCATTTGTGCAACGTAATAGTAGGAAAGACAAAAAGAAAGGAGAATCATATTTTAACACCTTTCGATTTTTTTACTAACCTTTTAATTTAACTGATTAATTTTTAGAAATATATTGACAGATCTAGTTGCTTTAATAATTGACCACTTAAATAATAGACTATACTATATACTTCGATAAACTTGAAAAAATACGAAATAGGTGAAATGAGAGATGAAAATAAATTCTTGACTCCTATTCTCATTCATATATTTTATTTATTTTCAAATCTAAAATTATTTATGATTAAAAAAGTTTTTAGTATAGCATTCATAAGTAATATATTGATAATTAGTATTAGAGAATATATGTTGATTCAATAAATACTAGACATGAATCTTTATAATTTGAAAATAAAAATAATGATAATATAACCGATAATTTAGATTCTATAAAAAAATATAGGTCTGTCATGCAACAATTAAATGACCGATAGTATTCAGTTACACTAACATCTCTTTTACCCACACTTTATACAACCGAGTTAAAGGAAAAAAAGGTTTATATTGTCCTAGACAGTCTGTAGAAAGATAATTTTTATTTTAAAAATCGATACACTCGCTTCAAGCTGATCGTTATGATTGTTTTGTCATTAATATTAAAATATATAATAACGATATAAAGTACTGATACATGTGTGTACATTATTTCAAAATAAATTTATTACGAGTAATCAAAACAAAGATTTTATGAAATTGATATTCATTTTATTATAAATATTTATAAAATAATTAATTTATAGAGGCTTTGCTCTAATACTAAACAGTTTTTAAATAAAAAAAAAGGAAAATTCAATTAGTTTTAATAATTGGTATCATAAATATACAAAAAAAGAAATACAATTGATGATAAAATTCATATGTTTTACGTTCATCATATGAAAATAAATGTCGTATAATCATTATTCCATAGAGAAGACAATTGATTAGCATATATGTTGATTTGCTAACTATGCGCTCTTGTTCAACTAGACTTGCTTCAATAAGAATAAGCAATAATACACAAAAAAGAATTTTAGCAATCAATTGTGCTGCTTTACGATTACCCATTGTGACAGAAAATGTTCGTCTTCCTTGAACACGATCACCTTCAACATCTCGCATATCTGCTTGAATCGTAGCAGCGGCAAATACACAAGAATTAAAAACTATATTCCATACAATTTTTGGATGATCATATATATTAGAAACATTATTCATTAAACACCATATAACACAAACTACAGTATATACACCTGGAGCCAATATACTATTCTTTCCAATACTTGTATTTTGAAGAGTAGTGAAATTATGAATAATTGTTATAAAAACCCATATTAAACATGGAAATAAATGACCAATTGAATAAGAATAAACAATAAAAACCGTAACTGTAATATAATAAAGATGCCAAGCTCGTTCTATGCTGACACGATTCGATGGAATTGGTCGCTCTGGTTTATCAATACGATCTGCTTCAACACCTGTGATATCATTAGCAATATTAAATTGTATCATAAAAAAATATATATAAAGTAAACTTAAGATCCATGAATAGAATAGATTAGAAAGTGACATATGGCCAGAAAGAAGCTGAGTAGCTCCAACAGCACATGGTGGACAAATAATAAGCATTATATTACTTCGACTGAAAGCTAATATACCAGTAATAATCGAGGTAATATGATGAATATATAAAGTTAAAAATGAAAGCAAATTAGACATTTTAAAATGTCCTGCAAAAGAAAACGATATAGAATTAATATAAATAATACAAATAATATTATGTATTGAATTCAATTTTATTTGAAGACCTTTAATATAAATTATGTTAGGTGAAGATAAAAGTTTCTTTTATGTCATATTGCTAATACTGATTTTTAATAAAAAGTCTTTAGAACTGATGTTTTCAAAGTACATAGAATCATTTAATATATATGTTACACAGAAAATTTAATTCTACAAAGTTTATTAATCTGAGATGATCTGTACAATAACATGTATCGAATTTGATAACACATCATAGTCTTCCAATAAAAATTGATTTTAAAAAAATCTAAACAAATCAGCTCTTTATGAGCTGAATACATTCAAGGTTGTATATTATTCTGCACTTTGTGTATATTAATAAAAGAAAAACCTATGATTAGTCTTTCTTGAATGATAGTTGTTTACTGATAATAGTTTCTCGCAGTTAAATAAATAGTTTTTGTTAATACTCTATCTTTTTATTTATTCAACTGTTATTTTAGCTTATTATACACATTCTTCACGGTTTAATGTACTCATTGTCCTCTAGAAAGAACTCTAAAATACATGATAGAGTTCATATTATACTTACTAGTTTTGTCCCGAAAATACATAAAATATTCCATGGATAACAAAAAGAAGGAGCAGAATTGAATATTTGAGTAATTTTGTTTATAACTGTATTTTAATATTGTATCTAAATTCAATAAACAAATAAATAAAAAGATTCAGACAGATAGTGTGAAAAATAATAAGAAAGGGTAAAGGAAAATATTTTTACATCATATATATACTTATTTTGTTCGAATGAACACAATTAACTGTCTTCTGAAATATTTTAATTATATAAAACTTTTCGATATATTGAAAATAGTTTATGTATATAGTTTTAAAAGCAAGAGAAAGATTATTTAAATAATTGTACGAGCTTGACATATATATTTATACGAAAGATTTCATAATAAATAAATTTCATAACTATTATTTCAAATGTAAATACTGTAAGATGTATTATAAATTTTTTGTCAAAATAAAAAGATTTTATCTGATAAATAGATAATTAAATTATTTTCATATATTTAAAGAATAACTGAATATAGGAAATAGTTACATTAGAAATCTGTTAATAAACTAATGCTATAAAGTCATTTACTTGAATTTGTAGTAAATCGAATTTATTTTTTTTTAGTAATTATTACCAAAATATATACATAACAATATCTTCCAAAAACAAGTTTTTTTCCTATTTTAGATATATAAATCACGTCAAGCGTATATCTATTATAATTATTATTGTATATTCTGAATTTTCATTTACAATGGATTCAAGTCAATAAAAATAAATGACAAAACATTGATCAAATCTGTACTTTGATGTAATTTTAGCTATTTAAGGTTTTTTCGCACTTAAATATAATATTTTCCTTTGAGAAAAATAGCTCTACGTAAATATTTCTTGTATAATACAATATTCAGAAGCATCATGGACTAAGGTATAAAGTAAGTTCTAACAGAAAATATTACCTCAAGTTTTCCACCGCATAAAATAGACTGTAAAAATATCCGATATCTCGCTTAAAATTTCTCATCGTACTTACTTGTTGATATTTGTTTTATATACTGAGCATACAGCAATATTTTTCGTGTATTTATATATATATAATTTATTGATCGTAAAAGAAATAATTGAATGATAAAATAAAAGTAATATTAAGTGCATTCTATTTTAGTATCTTTTTTTGTTTATACATATATTATTTGGAT